CTATAAACTGGACATGTTTTCCCTTGTGATACTTTTAATATTTTGTTGATGTCTGTCTATATTTAGGTAAAATCAGCCTGGACACAGGAGAAGTTTGTCAATAAACTGGACATGTTTTCCCTTGTGATACTTTTAATATTTTGTTGATGTCTGTCTATATTTAGGTAAAATCAGCCTGGACACAGGAGAAGTTTGTCAATAAACTGGACATGTTTTCCCTTGTGATACTTTAGTATTTTGTTGAAGTCTGTCTATATTTAGGTAAAATCAGCCTGGACACAGGAGAAGTTTGTCAATAAACTGGACATGTTTTCCCTTGTGATACTTTAGTATTTTGTTGATATCTGTCTATATTTAGGTAAAATCAGCCCGTCCAGTTTATTGACAAACTTCTCCTGTGTCCAATGTTTTCCCTTGTGATACTTTAATATTTTGTTGTTATCTGTCTATATTTAGGTAAAATCAGTCTGGATACAGGAGAAGTCTGTCAATAAACTGGACATATTCTCTTTGTGAAACTTTTAGTATTTTGTTGATGTCTGCCTATGCTACATTTTATCAATTTCTATAAACTTTATGATTTTAGAGATCAGTAGAAGATGAGTTAGAGCGAGGAAGCCAGTCAGACATCACTACCATAGCAATCAGCTACATCATCATGTTTGTATATATTGCCTTAGCACTGGGAGAGGTGAAGAGCTGGAGGACTGTCTTGGTAAGTTATATTTTCTTTTAAAATCTATAAAACTTTTGCTATATTTAAATTGTAGTTTAAATGTTGAAAGAAAATTATATTTTCACATTAAGAAAGGCAGAGAGTGCTAATAAGCTATCTCATTGTTATCCTGAGTTTACTGAATACGAAACAATGGAACTTAAACTAGCTTATGCCCATGAAATCTGCCATGGAAAAAGAGGAGAGAAAGTCTTATGTTATTTACTAAACACTTCCCAGGATTGTTAACCTTGACATAGAACATTTTTTAAATATTTAAAATATAAGTTCTTGATATTATTATAATTCAAAAAATATCTTTTTTCATTCGTATATAATATTCAGAAACATTTTGTGTCGTGCACATTGAGAAAAATTTATACAGATAATCACATCTGTTTATTTAAAAGAATAAAGTCTAGACTATTGGTTAAGAGGACTTTAAACCTAGAATTTATAATTTATTTTTGTAACTTGCTTGCTGTAAAAATAAGAAATAAAGTATTTTAAATCAGTGGTTCATTCACCTTCAAATTACTGATTTGTTTTTATACTTTTCACTTTGGTGGAGTCCACATACTGTGGTACTGGCATGGCCATGTTGTTAAGGTGCTGGACTTGCAAGCTGCTGGTCATGGGTTCGATTCCCCTTCCCATGCTCACCATTATTATAATGTGATGGTCAATCCCACTATTTGTTGTTAAAAGAGTAGCCCAAGATTTGACAGTGGGTGGTGATGACTAGCTGCCGTCCTTCTAGTCTTTCACTGCCACATTATGGACATCTAGCACAGATAGCCCTCATATACCTTTGTGCCAAATTTAAAACAAACTAAATCTCATACAGCATCGTATTGTGTAGTTTTATACCTTTACGTGCTACAACACTCATTGTAATTTGGGTGAAGTCAGTTATTTTCTGGAAATACCAGAATTAATTATTGACCCATAAGCATAAATAGTTTAGAAAGGTGTTTAAAAAAAAACTCCAATCTACCAGCATACAGACATTTAATATACTTATCAACAAAATTCAGAAATTTGAAGTGTTTCTTCTGGTAGACCTTCTCTAACTTTTCGTGATCTTAAAGAATTGGATATATTAAACTTGTATTTTTAT